TATAATAATTCCTAAGTGAGCATCCCCCATGTCATGCTTGCAAATTCAAAATTTGCTACAGTCCCAAAAGGCTATCTAACTGTTTAATTCTTCTTTGAGTGGTAGGAGTACAAGGACTGTTTTATACCACAACAAATCTTTGTCTATCAGCTCTCTACTGTTCCATTATGTATTAAACTTGGTGATTTCTCTATGTAAACACATGCTTTCCCAATGAGCCTTTATTCTGAAAGTTGGTTCCTTTCCATAGTGGTCCCAAACCAGAATGTTTCCATGTCCATTAGACTAAGTAGGCTAGAGAAACGATAACAATTTACTCAGTGCTTGACACATTTTGTTCAGGGAACTTGCAAGGTGGCTATTGCTGCTCACACACAACCTGAGATTTGAATATTCTAAAAATTTTAAGAAAAAAGTCTCACTGAGAAATGACCTGGCTTTCAAGGTTGGAGATTTATCTTTGCAGCAAGCCTTACAATTCCATATTGGCTAGTGAATGTGCATTATAAAGCTTTATTGTTCTCTTCTAAATACCTGGACAATGTCACGTTCAGCAGTCCTTCCACGAGATGTGATCCGAACATCATCTCCATCCAATTCCACCATTGCTGTCCATTGGAGGAAGCGGAAATGAATGTTTATCAAACATTAAATATCCAATGAAGAGCCAAAAGTTCCAAAATTTTGCTTGTGCCACAGACAACTGATTGATTAATGGCTGGAGGGGAAAAACTTATTAAAAATAGCATTACTCTTTTTTCCAGAGTTGAACTGGAATCATATACTGAATATTCTCTTTGCATGTTGCAACTTGCTTTCTTAATGAACCAATCAATGTGAGGTCCCATTCTTCTCCACAAAGTATAATTAAGTCATTACACTTTACCTGTTGAATTGCTGGCCTGAATTATTCAGATTTTCAGCAAATAATGATAGTTCTTGCACAGAAGATTATCAATAGGAGGCTTAAAAGTTGTTAATTGGAAGCTCAAGCAAATACATGACAGATTTTAACAGCTGCTCTGCAGAGCTTTAAATGTTGTATATACTTTATTTGACAAATCATATTTCACTAAAAGAAGCTAGGATGTCTGTTCAAATCTTTAATCACAGAAATGTATATCTGCTAATTGCTCTAATTTCTTTAGATACTTTTATTTTTAATATTCATAGCCAAAGTATTTGGGTGACAAGAATTTAAGACATATGTTGCACATTACACACATTATAGAGGTAATATATTTTTATATCCCAAAAGATCTTCCAAAAGATCACATCATGGAATAAACTGCTTAAAGAGATGGCAATATAATCCATTGCTCTAACCTATGTATTTGTTTATTTAGTAAGGTTTGTCTTAATACATTATTGTGTTTTTATTACACCTTTTCTCTGGGAGCTAAAGATTATACATGGGGAACTCTTCTAGATAGATTCCCACAGTAATAGTCCCATAAAATAGTTAGAAAGAAAGAAAGAAATTGGTCTAAAGACATTCAATGACATTCTATGCTCACATGAAGATATGAAGATATGAAGTTTAGTCAAGTCTAATGTTGTATGAAACCAATTTCTGTCTTGCTGTGTTTATGGGCATTGCAATGCTGATTGCCACTGCTACAGGCATCTGCAGAAAGTCATGATGTCATCATGTATGCCACAAGGGCGTCACCATAAGTGATGGAAAAGACACAACTTGTTCATTTGTGTAATGATATCACGACGCACCTGACGTCACCTCCTCCCTAAGGAATACCCATGGTTTAAGTGCAGAACTGAATTTATATTAGACTAGTATAGCTCTATTAGCTCTCAACAGAAATACACACACACACACACACACACACCATATTTCATATCTGGAGAAAAGGTAACACAACATAGATTCTTACCATCAAATTCAGCCTGTCCAACACCCACAATTATTATAGACATTGGAAGTTTGGCAGCCTGAGGACCAGCAGGAAACAAGTAAGAATAGAGGAGGACATGCAAAATGGAGATGGGAAGAAGAAACAAAGAAAGAGCCCGGATTTACAACACAGAACTGTAAAATAATATGGAGAAAGCTGAATTAAACAAATCCAGAAGTTCACTCCCTCCCTTCATGCAGACAGTCAACTTGCTGGCTGTACTCAATTCATCATAATGTCTTCACTGCTTGGCTCCACAGCCCTCTGTGTATGGAGGGCTGAATTTATTTATTTATATATATGTTTATTAAATTTACACGCCATTCATCTCACTATATGCAATTCATCTGGGTGGCTTACAGCATGATAAAAAGATAGTACAAAATGACTAAAAGTTCAGAAAAAATTAAATAAAGACTAAAAATCAAGAGGCGGAAGTCATTGCAAGAATACAAAAAAAATATCATAGTGATACTATGTGTTTCCCAGTCTGCCCGAGCTTGTCCTTAACATGCTGTCCTGTTATCAAATTATCTAACTTCTTTCTCTTCCCCTTCAGCAGCCAGTGACTGTTTTTGCTGTTAAATGCAGAAGTGGCAATATAATCAGTGCTTTTTGCTATAACAAATCTCTGGCAATGTTGAACAATGGACTGCAGCAACAATTTAATCAGGAGCACACTCATCACTCATCACCACTGGAATCAAAAGCAGAGCACATGGCAGTGTCCTTAATGGCTGGAAACAGAATGGTGGGGGAGGGGGAGATTGCGCACAGAAGCAAATGCTTGCATAACAAGAAGCTTTGTTTATTCATACAGTCCAGCTGATCTTCAAATCCCCTCTGGGAAACCTGAATACAAGGTTCATTGGAGCCATGGGAAGAGTAGCTTCGGGCAAATGATTTTTCTTCTTCCTTCCCATTATTTGTGGGGAAAGCCTATAGTGACCTCTTTCATTTGCTCTCACAGCATACTGAGGGCCACATTCTAAGCGTGGGCAGCAGAGGTGCTATTCAGCAGGTTCTGACCAGTTCTGGAGAACCGGTAGCGGAAATTTTGAGTAGTTTGGAGAACCGGCAAATCCCACCTCTGACTGGCCCCGCCCTCATCTATTCTCTCCCAGCTGATCGGCTGGGTTTTCTTTTGTTGCCCTGCACAGGAGAACAGATCTGGAAAGCAGGTTAGTGGGGTGGGGAAAGAATGGGATTTTGCAGAAACCTTTCCCCAGGAATGGGGAGGGAATGGGGATTTTACAGTATCCTTCCGCTGCCACACCCACCAAGGCACGCCCACCAAGCCACGCCCACAGTACCGGTAGTAAAAAAAAAATTAATCCCACCACTGGTGGGCAGGGCCAGGATACATTTGGGGGTGAGGTGGTTTGAAAAGAGTGCTTTAAACTTTTGCTTACACTCCCCACTTGGCAGAGCCTCCTAAAACTGATCCAAACCCCAACCAAAATTAAAAAGAGGGGCTGTGAGTTTAAACCTTCTCCATGATGCAGTCCTCAGAAGGAATACTAGCAAGCCTTTGCTTTTTCTCTTGCTCTACGATTTGAGGCTGACTGCTGTTTATCTGCTTTGGCACCCCAATGGATTAGATGAGGCTAAATATTTGGTAGAATGAAGCATGGGGGATGTGTGGGCTTCCAGCCTTTGTTGAACAGCGGTCACACTAGCACCGCCACAGAGGTAGATGTTGTAGCTGAGCATCCTCTGAAGGGATACAGATTCCCTCCTTCCTGGTGAAAGGATTACCAAGACAATCCTGTAATGCAGGGGTCCCCAACCACCGGTCCGCGGATCGGTACCGGTCCGCGGAACAAGTCCTACCGGGCCGCTGGTTGCTGGGCGCCACCATCTTTTTTTGATGAAAAAGTGCTTCCGGTGAGCTTTTCCGGGTAGAAAACTCACCGGAAGCACTTTTTCATCAAAAAAAGATGGCGGCGCCCAGCTGATGCCGGTACCGGGCTGCGGCGCCCAGCTGATGACGGTACCGGGCCGCGGCATAAAAAAGGTTGGGGATCACTGCTGTAATGCACGGTGCACTGTATGGTACGATGAACACATTAGTTAGAAGCTAATGCACTGAGTATGGACTTAGCTTGATGTCCATCCATTTTGGCTTGTCAACCATGGCTTCTTTCTTCTGGGCTGGCATTATGTACGAAGGAGGCATATGAATTCTAAGTAGTGGCCTCAAAGGGATCTTGTGGCTTTTGTTAGAATAAGGAAAGAAACAAGCTTGATCTCTTTGGGGCATGTGTGCAACGTGACATCACAACACATGTACGAAAGGGGAAAGGCTAGTTTTATGATACCAGGATGATGTTTTAGTCAAGAGTGACTCACTTTCCTCCTTCCTGTGGAAGCCACTGATTCTAAATCTGATTGTAAATGCTGTATTAATATAATAATAGGATGGAACCAAAAACCAGTTGCCTGGAGAAAAGAATATAAACACAAAATCACAAAATTGGAAAGGGCCGTTTAGTACACTTGTTCAATACAGGAATTCCAATGAAAGCATTCCCAACAGATGTCTTTCCTGCCTCTGCACTTCCTCGGGGTTTTCCATATTTAGCAAAATATTATTCCAATTAGGGAATTCTTTGAATTCAATAGATTTACAACAGGGAAAACATGAATGTGCTGTGGCTGCAAGATTATACCTCTTACTGTGGCTAGCAGTAAATTCCAGGCGCTCAGCTTACTAATATGCTATGCTACTGAACTGAAGCCTTTTTCCCCACGTGGCACATATAAGAAAATATCAGTTATTTGATAAAGCTGAAATCAGGCTGCTCCATTCCCCAGGTGAGCTACTCACATTGACAATTGCTTCTTTTGTCTGAGCCATGTCTGATATCACACCATCCGTGATGATGAGTAAAACGAAATACTGGGAGCCATCTTGCACAGCCGAGGCATATCTGATTTGGAAGGAAATAATATTGAATGCAGGAAGATATAGGCTCCTAGTGGACCCCTGAATCCTGAACTGAACACAAATGGTGCAATTAACTGTATCAAACTGTAATCTTACAAGCATTAGTAGAAATGATTCGTTTCTCAAAAAAGTGACCATTGCACTTTTTCCTGTAACTGTACAAGTCAGGAAGGTCTGTAGGATTCTGGGTATTATGAAAGAGATTTGCTTATGTTAAGTGTGATGGGTAGTGCATCTTCACTGGATGTTCATGATAGTTGAAGCTGAGGGATGGGCTTGAGGCATATTAAGATGGATATAGGGAAGGGAATGTTGGGAAGCAGATGTGATAGTATGTGAAATGTTCTGTGATGCGGAGCACCTGGAAACAGTCAGATTGCAAGTGCCTTTGTGTGGAATTATGTAGCAAATACAAGCCTGGGCTGCTGATGTATACAAACCATCTAAACACCAACCCTCTATTCATTCCTGGATGTTGTCTTGGGATTGGTGCTGGAATTCCACAGATTTCGTGGGGGATTTCAATCCTACATGCCCTAGGGGGACAGTCCATCTAGCTTGTGTGTACCAAGATAATTATGGGCTTGTCACATGAAAATGGGGCCACAACAGGTATGGGTGGACATGTTTGACTTGGTCTTTGTTTAGGAGCAGATAAGATGTCATCTGAAAAGGAAGGACAATGACACAGTCAATTTTCTTGCCTATCAGACTGCATATCATGACATTGTGGACCTCCACACGCCCCAATTGATTTTTTGAATGCAGATTGATTTCCAATAAATGTATATGTGCATCTGTGACCACCTCCAATTCAGAGTTGCTCTCCTTTTTTGTGAATATGAATATGGGATATCTTCTGTCGCTTGCCTATGTTCCCTTCTAATCCTAATAAATACAACATGCAAATCCACTGTAATTGTCTGTTTATGTGGTTTCTGGCTTGTAAAACCAAATGGTATGAATTTGTGTGCCTGCTTTATGGCAAGAAGCTTTCAATGTCATGCTTTATAAAGTACTTTATACTTGTATGGACCTACCCAGCCACATGGTTGACCACTGGTGCAAAGTTAGTTGGGCCATAGAGCTGCACAGTCTTGAGGCTCTGGTGATATGCTTCAAGGATTCCTTCTATTCCACTACAGTGAGGATTGTCACAGTTGCCATTCTGAAAACAGAGAAATGGAGACACAGCTAAAGGCAATCTCCAGGCAGAGGCTGCATCTTAACCATCTTTCTTTGGCTGCTTTAATCCTTCCACCTGCCTTTCATCTAATAATATGCCAGAACAAAGGTAAAAATGCTAGGCAGCAGGACGGTTACCTATGAATAACAGTTTTCTTTAAAGACTCAGTTATAAAATGTATGTTAAGACAGTTGAGCAGCTTGGCTTCCTTCTTAAAAGAAAGAGCATGTGACTGCTTCAGATCAGGATTTTATTGAGACAGATTAGGAGCTTTATCTTTATGGCTCTCTACTGCAGCTTTGATCTATTACTGGGTGTGTTTCTTGCAATAGTATCTTATCTCTCTGTTAGATCACACCACATGCATGCATTTTTGCACATGGAATATGAAAAGACAGAACTACTTCTAGCTAACGTATTTCCCCCAAAATAAGATCAGGTCTTATATTATTATGCAATAATAATAATAATAATAATGCATTAGGGCTTATTTTCCAGTTAGATCTTATTTTGGAGGAAATATGGTATTAAATACGTCCATCTGGCTGATGATTTTAACTGGGGCTTATTTTTGGAGTAGGGCTTATATTATGAGCATCCTGAAAAATCATGCTAGGGCTTATTTTCTGGTTAGGTCTTATTTTGGGGGGAAACACAGTATGTCTAAGTAATGCATGCATCCTTAGATTTATCTTGAAGGACTCCATCCCTGTTGGAAGCAAAGACTAAGCAGATGCAACTGAAGCTCACACTCTGGGGTTTAAAGGAATAGCAACAGTAGTGAAGACATTTTTCTTGGGTTGAGGTTTCATCCTGATTTTACAGATACATCAACATTTAAAAAGGATAATGTTGCTTCTTTTGTTATTATCATAACCCTCAAGGCTTTAACTCAGGAATGGGCAATCTCTGACTTCCAGATGCTGCTGAATTATAGCTGAGCCTGCTAAAAGATGTAGTGGGGAAGACCTGGAGGCCCAGAGGCTTTTTTGTAAGTAAATTCCAAGCTCCTTGAAAAGTCAAGCTATGACCAAGGAAAACAAGACTGCCCAGTGCCAGCCATCCTATTCATTTTATCCAGGAGCAAGGAGAAATAAACCGTGTAGAAAACAGGGCTTATTCCCTAGTCAGTGTGTTTGGGATTGAAGTTTAAAAGATCCGTTGATTCTGCTGTCAATGAGGCAAAGTCTCTGCCAGCAGGATCATATGGCATTTTGCTCTCTCCAGAAAAGGCATCTCAGAATGTGACCCATTGGACTCCTATGTCTGACACTTGATCTGATCTGAAATAAAGCGTCCCTCGGGAGCTGTTTTTTGAATGCTGGTGTGGCTCAAAGGGAAGTGTCAGTACCAAAGGGAACTCATGAGAGACACGCCCATCGGGGGGAATCTTGGCTCCAAACCCAAGCGCTGGGAACATTTTATCACTGTCATAGTCCTGGATGATCTCCCCAACAGCCTTCAGTGCCATGGCATATGCATTGAGCTGGTATGGATTCATGTAATGAAGGGAGGTAGACTGAGAAGGATTGCCTGCAGAAAATGAGAGAGAGAGAGAGAAAGAGGAAGAATCCAAAGGAGGAAGAAGGAGAAGGAATAGCAGTGAATTCATTGACTTGGGAGCCAGCTGCATTGATGAAGTTTGCTTAAGGTCAACAAAAACCCTTATCTGGAATGCTGTAATTGGGAACCTCTCCCTGAGGAGCTTCACCTGATGCTATTACATTATCTTTCAGAGCTGGCAATCATGGCATTTTCATCCTCTCAAGCACTTTAGTGGTTGGTATTTTAAGTACTGAAAGGATGTTATATTCTAAATCCAGAAGCTGGAATTTGCACTGCTGCTTGAATTAGTATTGAATCTGTTATTCAGTTGTATTGCTGTACTATGCCTGCCCTTCCGATTTCAACATTATGCAGGGCCAAATGCTCTAAACAATTAAAACACATCAGGCCAATTATACACACCTTACATACTTGAATTGTCATACACCGTCTACAGGAATCTGCCATTATTTTCAGAGTTGCCTTAGGACACTACCAAGTAAAATCTAAACAGAGCAGTCAATCATTTTTATATTGCTAATTTTCTATGGCAAGGGAAAAAAAGATAGTAGACTCACAGGAAGATATTTATAAGGGCTAGAAGTTAGAAGAGATAAAAACTGTCATTGCTGTACAAGGTAGTCTTTAACCTTACAACAGTTCATTTAGTCAAATTTTCAAAGTTACATCACTGAAAAAAGTGACTGATGACCGTTTTTCACACGACTGTTGTAGCATCCCCTTGGTCACTTGATCAAAATTCAGACAGTTGGTAACTGGCTCATATTTATGACGGTTGTAGTGTCCTGGGGTCATGTGATCCCCTTCTGCAACCTTTGACAAAGTCAGTGGAGAAGCCAGATTCATTTAACAACCGTATTACTAACTTAACAACTGAAATGATTCACTCAACAACTGTGACAAGAAAGGTCATAAAATGGGGCAAAGCCCACTTAACAAATGTCTCACTCAGCAACATAAATTTTGTGCTCCATTGTAGTCGTAAGTCAAGGACTGCCTGTATCTGGACATCTAATGAAATTTCATGAAAGAGACAGCAGGTGGCATAATAAGTCTTATCTTGCTATATCGAAATATTCTTGGATCTGCTTAAGAATTCAGCGATCTTATCTACAAGTACAAGCAGACGTGCGTTGTGTGCATGTACAAAAGAGAGCATTGGCTTCTTTATGCAGCTAAAATAAGGAAAGTTCTTAGCAATGATTTTCCAAGGCACACATGCTCATCTTTTACATTCATATATATGCATCACCAGTCTTGCTCACCTAGTTTTGTCCCTGAACCCAGTTCATAAAAATCAGCACCACAAGAGACCACATTCATGTCTAAAGTGAACTGAGTCTGATTTTTAAAGCAAAAAGTGATGAGAGAAGCTGATTTTGCCTTTTTCTTTATTATCTCACCACGCTTTTCAAGGGTTCCTAGCTGAAGCTTGCTTCCAGCATGAAATATTTTGCTTTCTCATTTGACACTTAATTTGGTGCCTTTACAGGGCAGGCAAAGCAATCTGACCTTATGTTACAAAACTCAGAATTAAAGAAGAACCATCGTCAGAAGCTTCCATGGGTTTAGAAGAGATATGCAAGATTGGATCACTCCCCTGAGAGGAGAGGGATAAGGTCAATATATTCTATAACCTCTTAGATAGCTTTTCTGAGGTCACCTTAGGTTATGATCTAATGAATGGTAGCTTCCTGGGGAAAGCCACCATTTAACATAATAGGCACTTTTATGCAATATGCTTAGGGTTAAGATTTAATGACTTTAATAAAAGTATAATGATCCAATTTTATTTTTAAACACTAGTAAATTGTATAAGCAAATAACACATTAAATGGATAGCACACTAACAACAATGAATAAATCAAAGCTTACCATTGGAAGCTGTGAAATCAATGGCCACTGTGAAATTGATCTGTGTCCTGGAGGAAAAAAAAACCACAATATCATCATTTAGGCTGTAATTGTACAATCTATAATTGTAAATTATTTAGTAAATTATTTAGCCTTTGAGAAAAATGAAGTCCAGAGTTGTTGGAAACTATGTCCTCAACTTTCCTTCTAGTATTATCTTTATTCCAACAATTGTGTTTATAATAATTAATTAGAATGGTAAACTGAAAGACAAAAGGGACAAGCATAAGAAATGGACAAAGGGATGCATAACTAAAACAGAATACCAGCAAATAGCCCTGGTCTTCAAGGATGAAGTCAGGAAAACTAAAGCTCAGAATCAACTAAGGCTTGAAACAAATGCCAAAACTAATAATAAAAATTTCTTTCAACAAGTAAAAAGACAAGAAAAAAGTCAAGGAAACAACTGGTCCACCAACGAGAGAAGATTGCAAGGAGATGAGGGAAAAAGCAGAACTGCTTAATTAATTCTTTGTATCTGTTTTTACACAAAAGGAAAAAACAGACCAACCTATCAAAAGCAGAACAGCAGAAGACAGACAAGGAATACAAGTCCAAATAGGCAAGAAAAAATGATAAAGAGAACACCTAGCCCCATGATGGTGAACCTATGGCATGCATGCCACAAGTGGCACGCAGAGCCATTTATGCAGGTACATGAACCCCAGCCAAACTTACCTGCACTGCACATGCACGCACTTCCCAACTGATTTTTGGCCCGTTTAAGGCCGTTTTTGTCCTCCTGGAGGCTCGAGGGAAGCCTCTGCAGCCTTGTGAGGCAGAAAAATGGCCTTCTGGAAATACCAGAAGTGCCCGTTTTCAGCCTCCGGAGGGCCTCTGGAGCTCGGGGGAAGCAGTTTTCACCCTCCTGGAGGCTCGAGGAAAGCCTCTGCAGCCTCGGGAGGCTGAAAAATGGCTGAAAACCAGCTGGGAGGCGTGTGTACGCACAATGCAGGTAAGTGGGCGGGGTGGGGGAGTTGCGCACGCATGCGCGCGGGGGGGGTGCATTACATAGTGGGTGCGTGCTTTCGGCACACCACAACAAAAAGGTTCGCCATCACTGACCTAGCCATTCTAGCTGAATGCAAATCATCAGGTTTGCCAGAGGACTGGAAAAGAGCTAATGTGGTTCCAATCTTCAAAAGGGGAAAAATGGATCCAGGAAACTACAGACCAACCACCCTGACATTGATACCTGGGAAAATCCTGGAAAAGGTAATCAAGCAATGGGTCTGTGAACACCTAGAAATGAGCAAAAATATTCAATGGTGGGCTGCAAATTTTTTAACAACGGTTCTCTGGCTGGGTAGGCATGGCCGATTGGTCATGTGACTGGGTGGGTGATGTCACTCATCACACCCAGCCCCACCCCCCAGCCACTCCTCAAAGGCAGAGATAGGATTCAGCCGGTTGGGGCAAATCCCACCACTGGCTGGCCCCGCCCCCACCCATTTTTTGGCCTATATTTTGGGCATTTTCAGGCTGTTTGGGGGCCTTTTTCAGGCCATTTTTGGGGTTTGTGTCTTAGTCCCAGTTCTCTTCAACATTTCCATAAATGATTTAGATAAGGGGATAAAAGGGGAATTCATCAAATTTGCAGAAAATACCAAGCTGGGAGGAATAGTCAACACTTTAGAACATAGACTCAAGATACAGAAGGATCTTGACAGACTGGAACTTCTCCAAGAAAATGCAAATCAGTGATGAGAAAAGTAAGGCAAGAAAAACTAAATGTACAGGTGTAGAATAGGTGGTATCTAGCTCAACAGCAGTAACTTTAAGTGACCTAGTAGATGACAGCCATTTATGTATGAGTTAGCAACATACCACAACTGCCTTAAAACCAATGCAGTCCTAGGCTTCATCAACAGAGTCAGTGGTGGGATTCAATTTTTCACTGGTTTTGTGGGCATGGCAGGGGAGAGATACTGTAAAATCTCCAGTCAGAGGTGATATTTGCCGGCTCTCCAAACTACTTAAAATTTCCGCTACCGGTTCTCCAAAACCGGTCAGAACCTGCTGAATACCGCCTCTGAACAGAAGGATAGTATCAAGAGCATGTGAAGTGATAGTTTCACTTTATACTGCACAAGTAAGATCACACTTGGAATACTGCACCCAGGTCTGGTCGCTGTGATACAAAAAAGATGTAGAGGCTCTAGAAAGAATGCAGAAAAGAGCAATAAAGATGATTAAGGGTCTAGAGGCTATGCTATGAACAGTTCCAGGGTCTAAATACAGTATGTCTAGGCTAGCAAAGAGAAGGACTATGGGTGACATGAGAGCAGTCTTTCAATATTTGAGGGAATATCACAGAGAAGAGGCGGTCGGCCTCTTCTCCAAAGCATCTGAGGATACGGCAAGAAGTAGCAGAAGATCCCTTATCAAAGAAGATCCAACCTAGAATTAAGGAGAAATTTTCTGACAGTGAGAACAATCAATCGGTGGAATGTCTTGCCACAAGAAGTTGTGGGTGCTCCATCACCTGAGAGTTTCCAGAAGAGATTGGATAACCATTGTCTGGAATGGTATAGGATCTACTGCTTGAGCAGAAGATTGGACTAGACCTCTAAAGTCCCTTCCAACTTGGTTATTCTATAATTTATTCTGCTCTCTGATTGTCTCAGAGTTTTGCCCCAAAGAGAAGAAAGAAGGGAGACTTTTTCAATGGTTCTGTGAAATAAGCAACCTCCTGAAGTGGGCTTGACCCTATCCTTCTGGTATTCAGGAAGACATTGAAAGACATCTCTAAAAGACACTCAGCATCTATCTATGTAAGTTGGGAGGCTTTCAGTTACATTTAAAATGATTTTATGATTATATAATAACGATGTAATAATAACTCTTTGTCCCTCCATGGGCTCCTATGAATCAGCGCAATTCTCAGCTCCAGGAGGACAAGGGACAGGGGTTTAAAGCACAGTGTGCAAAAGTGCTATTAAAATGGATGATTGAAAAAAGCTGTCTGCAGACATTTCCCTGGCAGCCTTCTCAGATGAGATTCCCAATCTGTCATCTCCCACCCTCCACCGAAAGCAATTGCTCCCATGACAGGTCTTTCCTTCAAATGTCATACAAGCCTTCAATGAAAGAATGCAGCTGTCAGTGGGAGATAATATTTTAAAATGCCTGGTGGAAAGGCAGAGACCAGGTTAAAGGGAAAGGCTTCTTTGTTTTGCTGCTTGGGAAACACATCCAAATTAGATTTAGCACTGGTCAGGGATGTACTTTTAACTCTAGAAAAGAGCACTAAGATGTTAACTATCTGTGGCTATTCAAAACTGAGATCCCCATAGTTCCACTTCTTCAATGGGTAGTGTTTGAATTTTGCTAAAAGTCTTGTGGAAAGGCCTAAGGACACTCATTTCTGTTTATTTCCATATTACTCTCAGCCTGCAATATGTGACAAATCCAATAACTAATAATAGAAATCTGTAAAATGTAAAATCAAAGTTATAAGAAGAAAAAACTCCTGCATACACAGCAAATTTGTCTCCAGGCCTTAAGCACTAGCCTTTCACACCCAGCTTACTGAGTTCAAAACAAACATCATGATAATGAATTATTGTTGGTAACACAGCCAAATGATTAGGCTGAATTTGGCATTTTTATCCATCTATTGAGTCCTTCAAAACGTGAGATAAGCAGATATTGTTCGATGGTGTTAAATGTATAATTGCAAGATGTGAGCTGTTCCAAATGACACTGGAACTGCTGGCCAGACATGGTCTGCACTCTGGTGGTTCGAACCCGGCTCTGTGAGATGGAGTGAATGCCTGTCGCTCGATCCCTAGCTTCTGCCCACACAGCAGTTCAGAAGCATGCAATATTACATATTACCCTACAAGTAGAAACCACTTTGGTGGGAAAAAGAAACCCTAGCTGTGGTTTGTGTGTATGGAGAATGGAAGCTGGCACTGGACCTGGCCAGATGCGAGACATCACAACATGAGGTGAGGTGAGGTGAGACCGGTGAAGAAGCCCAGAAAAGCCAGCAACCTGAACACAGCTATTTAACTAGTATAAAGTAAACTGGTATAATCTTACAGTACACCAAGGATAGGCACACAAGCGCTGAACAGAATGAGCTAGCAATTTAGGCTGTCAGGACTGCATTATGTCTAGCATGTGTATATTTCCCTGACACTGTATGTCATGCACTAAATAAATGCTTTCTTTTGTCACAGTCGTTCTACTTGTATTTTCAGGACATGTATTTTGTGATATTCCCCCATAATTATTAAATTATTAACGACTGTTCAGGATAATCCTTGAACCAGAATAGTAAGAAATCATCAGACAAGCTTGGCAGAGGAGCTCTGCTGGGAAGTTCACTTGACTTCTACCAAGAAAGAAAACAGATGGTCAAGGAAAGGAAGGAATAATTAATAAGATGTTAAACTAAGTAGCTTTCTCCTGAGATGAGAGGACCTTAAGGAAAAAATTGGTCAATGAGAGGACTGAATGAGAGGAAACATGTTGAATTACTAACATGAAAAAGGTAACAGGATAATGAATTTCAAGAAAAAGAAGAATAAAACATACTTACCAATATATTTCAGAGAATGTATGCTAGTTACCAAAAATTCAAGGTTTTCTTTAATGTTGAATAAATCTAAGAAATCTCTTTACCTTTACCTTACCAACCCACGTTGGTTGTTAAATGCTCTGAATGTGCTTGGGTTGATTTCTAGACTCTAGTACCTCTCAAAACCCACAAACTGAGCTCTGATGGATTCTTCAGTGGTTGGATATTTGCATGTGGAGAATGTGGGATTTTTATGGGCCAAGAATGACTGGTAGATCCATCAGCTAAAATACTCTTGGCTGCAAACAAAGAGCCACTGCCCAACATCTAAACAAAAGCCAGCTCTCAGCAATTTATAGAATATAACAACAACAAAGCAGTAGCAAAGGGTGGAAATACCCTTCAGACTTGGGAAGCTGTAAGGGTTGCAGAAATACACAAAAACTATGCACACACCACTTGAAAAGTAGAAGATTGCAGAACAGCCCCATCAAGACTTTGCTTCCTAGTGATTATGAAATGATGACTGCTGTTACTTAGGGAAGGGAGCATTTTTAACATGAGGTCCCCACCATGCAACATTATCCTTCACATTGCCTAATCCAAATGGCATTACGATAAAATTAAATATGGTTAGCATTTTTCTAAACTAAACTATCTATTTGTACAGGTAGTCCTTGATTTACAATAGTTCATTTAGTGACCTTTCAAAGTTACAGCGACATTGAAAAAAGTGACATGACCGTTTTTCACACGACCGTTGTAGCATCTCCATAGTCACACGATCAAAATTCAGATGCTTGGCAACTGGCTGTGATGTTTGCAGTGTCCTGGGGTCACGATTACTTTTGCAACCTTCTGACAAGCAAAGTCAACAGGGAATTCAGGGAATCCAGATTCACGTAACCATATTACTAACTTAATAAATGCAATTATTCACTTAACAACCGTGGCAAGAAAAGCTGTAAAATGAGGCTTAACCAATGTTTCACTTAGCAGCATACATTCTGGGCACAACTGTGGTTGTAACTCAAGGATTACCTATACTTCTAAGTGTGACTAAATAAGTTCAGCGATCCTTCAGGCAGAGCACATCTCCAAATTTTGCAAAACCAAAATGTGCACCCTGGGGAAGGCCATCTATGAAATGCATTTGTTAGGAAAAGTTGCAGTTTATAAATGGATGGGAAAACTGATGCCTGAGAAAACTGAACAAAAGAGACATTTGATTAACTATATGAAAAAATGATGTGGACTGAATATAAAGAGATTTTTTTTTTTTTTGCGAGAACTGGCTGTGATGACTCAGTATTTGGCATGTAGAAGGGATTCTGCCTGAGACAAAAAGTATATCAGCAAAACAAAATCTCTCCAAGGTGTTTGAGTTTCTTTCTTCGCAATGACTTTGGACTTTTAGAGGTTTTTCTTCATTTTTTTTTCTGTTGCAGCTTGCAAGAAATAGGACATAATAAAGCTATATTATGTAAGACAAACACAGAAAATGGTAATAACTAAGCCTCTCCTAATTTACCTTATTCCTTTTTTTAAAAAAACCCATCTTCAGTCTTTTATTAGCTTAGGCTTTAAGATTCTTGCTCAAATGCTTGTTTTATCTAAGGTAAGTTGTTATTCTTAGGTCTAATAAATCAGGCACTGGACCACGAGTTCTGTATTATACCCTCTTACACTGTCCCAAATATAAAGAGATTCTCTTCTGTGTGTGCATATTTTGACATTAATTTTATATCTCGAAGCCCAGTAACTTCAGAGTAAGAACCCCTTTTAGCAGGCATTCTCTATGCATGACAAAAATTAGGCCCAACCCCGTGTATTTTCAGCAGCTTTTTTTATGTTCTTGTGTAACAGTTCCACTTTCTAAAACATAATTTGCTCACCACAGTTGGGCATGGATTTCAGATCTTCTGTACCCAACAGTTTTCTTTCCAGTGTTCATTTGAATAATTTATCAGTAATTCAACGTCTGATGGTGCAAATAAGCACAGTTTCAGATCAGGAGGCAGAGCCATTTGTTCCACTGACATAATCAGGGGAATCTTATCTCTATCTCTTTCCATTTTATTATCATAAAATCCCATGCTCTAAGCTTTTTGAAAAGAGGGTGGACAAAATGTGATAACAAATACGGCATTATAGAGATGTATCTGATACATGAGCTTGTTCAGATGTTTAATTGTGTGAATGGCAGGCATATGTGAAGTTTTAAATCCTAAATAGCTCAATGGGTGCTCTTCTGTGGCATTTCGGAGTTGTTTATTTGGCAAGAAAATAGCAAATAACTAGTCATGTCAGAGAACCGCAGCATCTTTCTTGATCGGTTCTAGTCACTCTGATACAAGCTAAACTTCATATTGAAACAAAAAGGAAAATATTTCCCAGAAATATTCCATCAGTAGTCCTTGACTTATAACCATAATAGAACCTAACCCAATTTTATGATTTTTTTAATGGCAGTCTTTAAGTGAATTACCATGGTCTTTAAGTAAATCTGTGGTCATTAACTGAACAACATGGTTGTTAAGTAAATTCATTGTTCATTAGGGAGCGCTTGCTAAAAACCATTAAAAAATGCTGTTTTTTGGCAAAAATGTTGTAAATTGTGGTCACAGGATTGTGGGATGCTGCAAACGGCCATAAATGCAGGCTGGTTGCTGAACAACCGAAATGTCATCACTTGACCACAGGGGGCACAGCCCCCAGAACTTTGGAATCAATTTGTGAGTACTTTTTTGGGGGGAGGGGAAATCTGTTGTAACTTTAAAAAGTCACTAAAGCAACCCAAAGTAAGTCAAGGACTGCCTGTATACTATTTGGTCATTCCCAAAGTAGAAGAAGTCCAATTACTACCACTAGCTAAACTCAAACACTTGTGTTTAGTCCTTAACATTATGCCACCAGCCCAGTGCTTCATGGTATTGGTTAAATCTTTACCATCCATCTCTAATCCTACAACATAGTTTTACAATGAAATCAGAGGTGGTATTCAGCAGGTTCTGACCAGTTCTGGAAAACCAGTAGCGGAAATTTTGAGTAGTTCGGAGAACTGGCAAATACCACCTCTGACTGGAGATTTTACAGTATCCTTTGCCCTGCCAGGCCCACCAAGCCATGCCCACAGAACCGGTAGTAAAGTTTTTTGAATCCCACCACTGAATGAAATGCAAGAATCATCTATTGCATTCCCATGTCATATCAAGTCAGGATACTAAACCATTACTGGAACAAGAATCATGTTGGTTCAACAGCAGGATCCCTTCCATTTGCTTCTTCTCTTTGGAGAAATAAAGGAAGCAAAGAGAGCTTTATATGGGAGCCATCTTTTGATCTTGGGACCACAGTTGCAGTGATGCCAATGATGTGATCAGAGGGACCGGGGATAAAAAAAATCTTGGCTTGTTTTCTTTTCGTTTGTGTGTGTGGATTGGATTGGAAATGGGAGCATTTCACAAAACTACAACTTTATCCTTGCTTTTCCATCTCTATTTCTGTTTTTGCAGCTGAAAATCTTTGGCCATTTTGATGCCATCTTTTGGCAGCATGATTTGGATCTGTCGTCTGAGGATTTTGGAAAATTTTAACAGGACATGATTCGCTTCATGGAAACTTGGGAAACATGCCCACTGCTTCTTTAGACATTTTCATACCTAAAATAATAAACATTATCATTTTGACACACTGTTTTGGCAGGATAAATATTTGGACATTTTAGAGGCTATAAATAAGGTGCCAGACTTACTAAAGCTGTAGCTGGCTGTAGCTTGCCGCTGAGGAACATTTGAACCTAGAATTAAAATTATGATTCTCAAACAAATCAGAATCCATAAACTAATAATGAACCTTGCTTTATAGCTTTTAAAAGTAATCCAGTGTTATCTGGACATTTTAAACCTAATTCTGATGTTGGGGTTAATCATACAAAGCGATGCCTTCTTCGAGATCTTGAAACGGAAAGAGCAAACTAACAGCAGTTAATTGCATAATTTATTCTATTTATTTGTTCTGGCTGAAGTACAATTCCATCCTAATTAGGCTATTAGGCTATAACTTGGTAGGAATACCAACAGTCTTTCCCATGATGTCTGGGGTTAATTTAAGTGTTTTAGCAGGAGAGACGACTTACCCTCCTTTGATGTAATCTAGAAACGTATGTTCTGATTCAGTGGCAAATGACAGCAATGTTACCTTGAAAAGGAAGAAACAGGTTGTATGTCACATAAGGACCAATGAAATAATTGTTACTGGGGCAGGAGCAACTGATGTTAATTATGTGTCATGTCCAAGGCCATCCCATCTTTACTCTACTCCCAGTCCAATAGATTACTGCAACTCTGTTTTTTAAGATTATCAGATTTGGCTTGCAAAAATCCAGAAAAAACATTTATTTTTTTACTGAAGATTTGAACTTAGATTCACAAGAACAGTTACAACAGTAGCCTAATAAAGTCTCACTCTGGTGGAGAATCTCTCACCATATATATATATATTTTTTGGGGGGGGAATCTAAAGGGCAAACCTGAAAAAGGGGCAAGTCTGAAAGACATACACAAGGAAAAAAACAATTGATTATAACTTCGTTTTACAAAGGAAATTTCAAGAACTTTTCTGCTTTTAAAAAATACATTTTCTGATAAAAACATCTAAAGCCAAACGGTATATGTAAATTTGTTTTAAAAAGACAATTCAAATTTCATATTTTTCAACTGTGTATTAAATGGTATTATTTCTACAGTAAAACTTAAATGATCAAAATAAAGGTCAAAAGTGACTTTTTGGAAAATAAATGAATTTAAAAAGACAACTCTTTAAAATAAAGGGTGCCCTTTTGTAATAAGGGCCACATGGTCACTGTAATTAACAGTGGTTACCAGTATTTCAAACAAGAATCTCCCTGGTCCACAGGTTCATACTGGGAACCAAAGCTCAGCCTTTCTGTATGGGATCTACTACTCGGCCCTTCCTTATAAGTCTAACAATTTAATCATTTTCTCCTATGGACAAGGAAACATAATATATCATGCCAGAGGCATCAGCCAGATTTAACAATTACCAGGAAAATAATCTGAATTTATCTGGCAAATGTATCGATCAGCCCAAACGTCTACGTTTTTCTTTGCATGTAGAAATTAACATTAATTCAAAACACTTTCTACATTTTGACTCTGTTGAAATATTTATCAGCTCTCTCTGCCTTTGATTCAAATCGGATTGCACTATTTTCTACTATTTTAATTGTGGAATCCGCCTGTTTTTACTGGCCATTCCTCCGGCTGGTATTTAAATAATACCACTGCTTGGGCAAATACTAATAGTCGTGCATTATTTGCTGTTTACATCAACACATGTAATTTTCCGCCTATTTCCTTTTTGTTGAGGCTCAAATAAAAAAGGAATCCCAACTTCAAAATTTCTCAGATGGCAAGTTGGGGAAATATTTTAATATATCAAGTACACTTATAATAATGTTACTCACTGTTCCTGAATTAGAGTATTTCTTTTTCTTCATTTTCTTTTTGGGATTTACCACCTGAAAGAAAGAAGAAAAATGATGGTAATATAAATATCTCTGTGAGAAATCTGGTCTGGCTGAGCCTGTAATGCACACCAGAAGCAGTAGATGCACTCCTGGTATATACTTATATGAATCCCATCTCTACACAAGACACTTTGTAGAGGGATATTGCAAAACAAAATAAAAGATGTGATGCTGCCCCAAGGAATTTAAACATTCTATTTAAACAAAAAGGAAGTCTAAGGCTGAAGAGGCAAGTGGGGAAAGGAGGCTCAGAGAACAAAATGTGGATATGCTGTAAACAACTTCATTTGCAAATAATCTGGCGTCTGCTTTATATGTGTTAGGGTTTTATTTCAGCAATGCAGAGAGCAAGGACTTAAGCTAAAACTACAAACAAACATTTTTGAGAAGGGCTATGAAGAATTCTGCTTTTTTTGTTCCTTACAACTATCCCACAAGATGCTCATTGTTATTCATCACGTACCAAATAGAATGAAAACTGAAACATAAGTTAAAACTTCTACAGGCAAGGAGATGGTGAAGCTGTGCCCCCTGAGCTCCAAAACAGATCAACACATCTGTTACACTCAACAGATCTTTCTTAAAAAGGCAAATGGTCTACCTTAATCCAGGCTGATCTTAATTAGTATACACTTCTTTTTGATGATACACACAAAAATAAGATTTTCTTTTAATACAGCACCAAAACCAACTTATACTGTTCTTGCCCTGTGAAGAAGATATCTGTTAAAGGATTGGGGTGTGTGCGTGCTGTATTAAAGTGGAGGTATTTTACTGTAATACCAACTTGTTTCTCATTTTAAATAAAAGCTTCTTTGTACAAATAAAATAAAATAAATAGTAAAGAATGGTAGCAGGCGTAATTCCGAGCATGCCAAATATGAAACATGAAATAAATCAGTCGTAATATTGTAGGTATATGTGTTATTTCACTGCATTATAATGAACTTGGCAACTATGACTATCCAGTCCTTTATCACAACTATATTTTCTCAATGTTTTTATTTCATGACCAAATTGATAAGATTTTAGTCTTATCAAACATCCATATCTGACAATGCACTCTGCATCAAGACTGCTATCATAAACTGCAGTATTCTGACACCCTTTCCTCCATCATAGGCTGCCAGAGATCAAGTTACATGTGTGCCACACTGCCTTACAAAAATATTAGTGCAGAATTAAAATTCTTCTTCTTCTTCTATGTTTGTCTACTTTTTTGTCTTAACCAAGGGCATATTTACAGAGCAGGTGTCCTGCTAATTTTTAGCCCACACCTATTAAATTTTAGCAGCTAGTAATGCAGCTAGCTGCACAAGGCTTTCAGTGGTTGGGAATGAGATTAAAGTATCCTGCTTATCCTCTTCTCAAAGCCAGAATAAGTTCTTCAATGCAGTAAAAAGTAAAGAAAAAAAAGAGAGAAGTGTATAATTTATTCATATTAGGAAATTCAGATTTCTTTGCTAAAAGATTTGGGCTATTCTGGAGCAAAAGTTTCAAAAATTTCAGACTGCTACCATCTCAGCAATTATGGCACTATTCTGGAGGCCACGGAGTCCTTCTACTTCAACAGATCATCAAGCTATTGGAATTACTAGATGCTTCGATGAAAGACAAAACTGGGTGTTTCCTTATGTTTCAAATCAGAAATGTCTCCTGGGATATAATCCATGCAAATGCAATTATGGAATAGAACATTATTTTAAAGAAAATAAACTGAAAATGCAAAGTAAGTATACAGTGTAATCTAGTACTGTAAATGACCATAGGAAGTGTACAAATCTGACTTCTTTCAAATAGATTATTGAAGTATGATGGCTCTAAATTTAAAAGAAAATATTTCAGAATGAAGCTCTAATTCCAAAGATCAAATTCGAAATTAACCATTCTGAGATATTTTTTCTACTTACTGTGCAGTACTTCAATAAATGAGAATAGACATAAAGTTGGAAACATAAATGTAAGATAAATCCAGTTCTGAAGGATCTTTAGAAAGAAATTTGAAAATAAAGTTGTCAGCTTATTTTTTTATACCAATTTATGACATAACTGTACTTGAAATGTATATGTGTTAGACAATTCACTGCATATTTGGCCTGTGCAAATCATTTGAAAGGAGTGGTTTTGCAAGCCACTTTGGTGCCAGTAAAATATCCCTCTTCAAAGCATTAAAAGGGATTCAAGCTTTAAAAGGTTTAACTGGCTACTTTGATAGATACATCCAGGTGCAGTGACCCCACTTCACTGAAAATCCCAGTAGGTCACAATCTGCATACAAATGCATGCAGACAGACAAACTGGGAAAAGACCTGAAGCTTTTACATGAAACTTTAAAGTATTGTGACTTTTCCAAAACTTTGGCGAAGAATGCTTTATACATATCTGTCTATTTTTTTTGAAGCACTCATTTCCAAAGATTTATACAGGCCTATTGGACATCAAAAAGGGTATAGCAGATTGGTGGGAGAGCCAAGGCTAATCAATGGAAGTACCCTTCATAATGCATAGCCTCTCTTTAGAATTCACTAATCCATATACAACAGTGGCGGGGTAATTTTAAATGGGGATAGAGAAAAGAATGGGAGTATTGTGAATGGGCAGGCTAAAATATAGCATTCTCAGGTGACTAGCATCATGTCAGATAGTTAATCCACATCCACAAGTGAGATATGATTCTTGGCCACATTCAAAATTAGACTGAGTTCCTCTCTCTTCTAAAGACAAAAGGGATTTTTTTTCTGAGCACAGTGTATAGTTGAACAAGGGAGAAGGGACTACAAAGATTGAGAGTTCATTACAAACAAAGCAATCTTTCTAAAAATAAGAATTTAAAATTGGATGTGTCTCATATGGGTTCGATTACAACAAAAGGCTACACATGAGGGAAAGTTGGATCACTGCAGAATAAGTAAACATGTAAACTTCTCGAAGCTCTTGCTAATCTCAGCCAGCATAGCCAGTGGTGAGGGATAGAAGGACTTACAGTTAAGCAATACTTGGAGACTCACAAGTTCTCCTATTAATGGCTTAAGAATAATTTTATATACAGGTTCCTTCATTCCTTTGAAAGGGAATAAAACAAATATCAGATTTGTTTTTTATGGCCCATTGCCAAAGAGAATGTCTTTCTTTTCAATATTATGAAAAACAGAAATGTATATTGCTTCTCCTATTTCATGGCATTCTATTCTCTAGAAGAGCAGAGTTTATAAATTATATAAACTATGCAAATTTCTCAACTCTATTTTCTTCTCATCTCCTCCCCATTTTTCCCTTACTGAGGAGAGAAACTAGGTTCTTTGAGAGGAGCAGCTGGGATCTTCCTATGCCTAGTCAGGCCGGTCATATGAGAAATTGCCCTAGAACTGTCACATTAGATACTATTATAGCAGAACTACCGAGCATAAGATATTAACATGCAAAAAATGATTGGTAATAACAAGAACCCCAGGGTCTGAAGTAACTGGCCACATATGTGGGGCAACTGGGCATGCACACTGCTGCAACTCTGTTCTTTAGCTTCAGGTGGGCTTTGTCATCTGTTGGTGAAGACAGATCTTCAACTTAAGAAGAAAGGCATATTACAATTAGAACTAGTGACAGGCCACAAACTTTCTTGATTGAGAGCACCATGCCAAGATGTGATTTTTAAACCATGTTTTATTTAAAAGAATAATGGGTTGAATTTACATTTAATATTAAATTGTTCATCATTGTTTAAAAGGTACTATGGCAGGATTCAACTAAAAATGGTTTACCTCACCATACGTAGAGAGCATGGAAGATGACCCTGGCAGAGATACTGAAACAACTGTTACCTAGGTAAAAGGGGCTGAGGCATTTTTAAGTCTAGAACATCCAGATAGCATTCAGAAGCTGCTCAGACAGATACTATACCTCTTGAATTCACTGAATTGTAAGAAGGAGGATGAAGCACAGCGCACTTATGTTTGTGAGAATCTGTTATAGCAATCACCTTCAATAAAAGCAGTTTTTGTCATCTTACAGAATTGATTTCATGGTCTGGTCTGCTTAGGAGGGGCTGGTATTACGTATTTAGTATTTTTAGTATTTATTTGATTTGTCGATCGCTTACAAGATACAGGTATAAGAAAAAACATGAGTTTTGAATACATGAGATAGATACTTATAAGAAAAATAAAAAGAAACAATAGGACAGGGACGGTAGGCACGATTGGTGCTCTTATGCACGCCCCCTACAGGCCTCTTAGGAAGGGGGGTGAGGTCAATAGTAGACAGTCTAAGGTTAAAGTTTTTGGGGTTTGGGAAAGAAACCACAGAGTCAGGTAGAGTATTCCAAACATTGACCACTCTGTTGCTGAAGTCGTATTTTCTACAGTCAAGTTTGGTGCAGTTAACGTTGAGTTTGTATCTATTGTGTGCTCTTGTATTGTTATGACTGAAGCTGAAGTATTCATTTGCAGGTAGGACATTGCAATGTATGATTTTATATACTATATTTAGATCAGACCGGAGGCGGCGTAGTTCTAGGTTTTCTAGGTCTGAACTCAGTCAAATCTAGTTCCAGCCTCTTGGCACTTATTCAGTGCTATTTAAACCTCAATATTAACATTACATGAGGTATGTAGATATGCATGAGCATCTGTGCATATCATGATGCTATCACACAAATTATACCAATTATATAACATCATCAGAGCTTTTACCAAATGCTGTACAGATAAGGGAAATATATATTCTTCAACTTGGAAACTGTGAAAAGCTTTTTCCATGGACTCCTATGATGACCTATACATTATATCTGAGGATCCAGATTATTGGGGGAAATATGCTGACTCTGTAAACTGCTTAGAGAGGGCTGTAAAGCACTGTGAAGCGGTATATAAGTCTAAGTGCTATTGCTATCTCGTAAGAAAAATAACTTTTGTACATGACATGGAATCGAACAGAGAATTATATATAGTTTTCACAATGGAACAAATGGCTACCTCCCTACTTCTCTCCCACATACCCTCCCCTCATGTTTTGCATTTTATTTATCAATGATTTGAGGTCAGGAAACCAGCCCTAAGGATGCCAAGTTTGTACAGGACACTAAATTATTCAAGGTGGTGAAAATACAATTTGATAAATGTCAAAGCAACCTCTTCAAAATGGATTAGGAAAACAAAGAGTTTTTTGCCACATTTACAGGTGGCCTAAGCTCTAGTGATTCCACAGGAAAGAGATATTTTGGTTGTGGTGGATAGGTTTAAAAAAAAGTCCGCATCATCTCAGCATGCAGTTGCAGAAATGAAAAAGGCAAACACTGGGTTTGGGAAGATCAGGAAATAGGTTAAAAATAGAACAGCCAATGTTATAATGCTTTTATATAACTCAGTATTGAGAGTGCAACTGAACTGTTGCATAAAATTCAGGTAGTCCCATTCCAAACAATGGGATGTTCAGGCTGAAAAGTCTGAAAATTTTTAGGTCAGAAGAAGAATTGTAAATGGGGAAACATCAGTGAGACTTTACAATATCTGACAAAAAACGTATAAAAGTCATAAAAAGTGGAAAGAATCCATGATAATTTCTTGAGCTCCTGACAAATTGGGACAAAAAATTAGCATCTATCTATCTATATTTCAAGGCATAGAGTTAATGTCTTTCAAATGGCTTTCCCTAAAGGAGAAATAGGGCAGAAAGCCTGGTAATCATATAGTTGGAGTGGACAATAGCCAAGCTACTGATTCATTCTAATTACGATACTGCACATAATCTGGCTGAAATTCCTTCTCTCCACTCTCATACTGACAATCCCTTATTTATGTTTTTATTGAGATCTGAAATTAGCACAGTACTGTGGTTGCCAATGCCCTATCAATGGTTTTGTACTACAACTGGGCATACTAAACCAGATCTACACCATGACCTGCTTAGCTCTAGAGCAGATACACCTCTTGGTCTTTTAGTAGCAGAAGAGCTTTAGTGTAAAGTCATGTTCAAAAGTTATTGTTCATTTTTAGTCTAACAGATTGTAATCTAAAATGACAGGTATATACTTCAGAGAATACTCTCTATTTGAACACCTGATCGTAATTTTTTTTTTGCTCCTACTTGGAGGACTGTGAAAGCTCCTAATGTAATATATAGAAGCAATGGTCTAAAACTGGTCTAAATAGAAGATTTGGGAGAATTTAAAGGGTTTGTTTCTCCCAACTGAAAAATGGAAAAAATATTGCTTCTATAAATACAAGGAATGCGACACGTGCATATACGGTATTTTTAGGAGCCAAGTGCAATTTATAGGATAGAAAATTTCTTTGTTTTAGGCCAACAATTCTGGAGGCACCAAATTTATAAAAACTGGTTAATGTACCAGATGAACATTTCATGCTTAGAGCCTCAATATTTCAGGAATAATAGATGGTTTTTGAAAGATTTATATTTATATTTTTTTTTCCTAGCAGAGGAAAAAAATTACATGGATACATGATGCATTGAAAAGGAAATGATGGCTGTGGTCTTAAAATAGAATGACTGTGAGAGGTAAGACAGTATTTCTACCTGTGTTGGGATTATTCAGCAAGAGATAAGGTTATTTATCAAAATTTAGTTATTTTGATGAGAAAGTTGTCATAAGTACAAAAATGTGGTTCAAGGAGAGTATGTAACTATTGGGAATGGAAGAGAATAGAATAGAATAATTTTTTATTGGCCAAGAGTGATTGGACAGACAAGGAATTTGTCTCTGGTGCATAAGCTCACAGTGTTCATATAAACAGCAAGTAATAGGTCATAGATCATAAATCATAGTTACAATCATTAATCGGAAGTTACAAATACAATCGATAAATTGTAAGAAACCAGTAGGAGAAGATAGTAGGAAAGATGAAGAGATGAGAAAAGATTAAAAATGAGACAGTGCTGTGGGAATTTAGTGTTCAGCAGAGTAATGGCATGTGGTTAAAAACATGATTTTAATCAAAGCACACAGAATGCAGGGGTCTTAATAGAAAGGACCATATGGGTCATAAAATTGGGCTGTTTGCTCAAGGCAAGAATTTGTTAAAACATTTCAACCATTTTTTTTTCAGTCATCCATCAATATAAATTAACTTTGGATGCTAATATTAATGGGCATCTGAAGAAGCTACTCACCTCATAGACATTAAACTGGCTTTGTCCTCGTGCCAGTTCTCTATAGCTGGTTGTAAACTCTCCAATGAAATCATGACTGTTAATAGAAAATAAGATTGTGAGAGATGATATACAACAAAGATCCCTATTTCTTTATATCTTGATGGTCCAAGATGAGGAATAATAAAATGTCATAGCCAATCAGTGGTAATTCTGCCTATTCCTCACTTCCTTAATTTGTATATTTTTGGTCCAGCTACCAATATATGGAGTTTCTTTTCTTTGTTTATTAATTATTTTTATTGATTTTTCTTTTTTTACATGTCTCAATCAATAATAAACAGTACTGTGACACATCTTATACAACTACATTACATATCATTATTGTCTATATGTTCTATTTCTATACTTTTTACAACTATATAATACATTTCCTTTTCTTATTTCTTTCCCTAATCTAGTCATACCATTTTCCCCATATTGCATAGAATTCAGAATCTTCTTTTCCTTTTAATTCTATAGTCATCCTGCACATTTCCGCACACTTGAGAATTTTTTTGATTACTAGGCCTTCAGATTGTATGTGTTCTTTCTTCCAGCATTGCGCAAAGGCTATTCTGGCTGCTGTTGTTATATGTAGCATCAAATATTTTATTCTTTTATTATATTTACCTATAATTACCCCTAGGAGAAATAGTTCGGGGGTAAATTCTATCTGATTTCCAATTAAATCCTGTATCCATTTTTGTATTTTCTTCCAATATTTTTTCGCTTCAGCGCATAACCACCATGTGTGATAGAAGGTACCTTGTTTTTGTCCACATTTTCAGCATTTTGGATCTAGGTTAGGGTAAATCTTAGCCAATCTCGAGGGCACCAAGTGCCAGCAGTAAAACATTTTATATTGATTTTCTTTATAGGCCGCCGATTTTGTTATCTTATGATTTATGTTCCATATTTTTTCCCACTCCTCTAACTCAATATTATGTCCCAAAGTCTACTTTTCATTCTTCTGTCATTTACTTAGGCAACAGACTATTTATTAAATAAAGTGATTCATAAGGCAAAGCCAGCCTTTCCAAATCTAGGGGCTATAGTTTACTTTACTTTATTGTCATTGCACCTTGTACAACGAAATCAAACACCATCTTCAGTTCACATCATTACCATGACCATGACCATGAAAATAAACACAAACACACATCCTTCACCCTTCACATATTGAACTGGAAACCCCCGACACCACACCAACACTGCACTATACAGCAGAATTCAAAACAGCTACTGCCCTGGGATAGAAGCTGTTTTTCAGCCTATTTGTCCTTGTTTTTATTATTCTATACCGTCTGCCAGATGGTAATAGTTAAAAAAAAAAAAGGGTTCCCAGGATGAGATGGATCTTTGAGAATGTTTTGAACATTCTTAAGGCAGTGGGAGCTATAAAGCTCTTCCAAAGACGGGAAAGGGCAACCAATTATCTTCTGGGCAATGACATTAACCCTCTGGAGTGCTTTCCTATCTGCCACTGTGCAATTGACAAACAATATAGATGTGCAGTATGTTAAAATGCTCTCAATGGTGCAGCGGTAGAAAGTCACCAGCAGTTTTTCATTCAGTTGTTGTTTTCTGAGAAGTCTCAGGTAGTATCATCTCTGCTGGGCCCTTTTGACCAGGGCTGCAATGTGGGCACCCCAGGTCAGGTCCTCTTTTAGGGTAACACCCAGAAACTTAAAACTGGCCACTTGCTCCACTCGGACTCCATTGATAAGCAAGGGCTGGATGTCTGATCTATTCCTTCTATAATCCACTATAATTTCTTCCTAATGATTTCCTAATAATGTATGTAGAGATGTGTTTGGATTCTCATCATTCTCAAAATCACAGTTGGAATTCTGGTGATTATAGTCTCAATACATATGGAAGGCTGGGATAGCAAGTTTTTTCTCTTTTGTGCGGAACAAAAGGACTTTTTACCTCAAGCTCCATAAATTCAAGTATGCTACACACTCTTGTTGCATTTTCTTTTCATTTAATTTTTATCAGTGTAGTTTTTTAATGACTAAATGCAAGGAACTAAATGCTACTTACCTGCCATCTCGATCCCAGTCATATACCTCTACTTTTATGGTTCTGCAAAAGAGGACATTGATGATCAAGTTGCAATTCTTATTACAGTTTCCTTCTGAGAAAACCACTGACATGAAAAAGTGTCAAGCTGTGCATTAGAGATAACATTCTTTCTTTTAAGAAAGCTGAGCAAGTAACCCAGGTGGGATTTAGGGAATATTAAGATTACTCCAGCTACCCTACATAGGACAAAATCTCCCAAGTAGGCCTATAACTGTCCTTCTAGCCTTTTCTGGATAAGCATCTTGGAACTGACGTATTAAATAAGCATATGTTTACATCAAAGTCATGTAGAGAAAATGGAATTGCCAGGAGATAAACAACAGCCTATGTTTATTCTGACTGAACACAGAACATGATATGGTTGGGCAAGGAGTTCACTAGCCATTTAATAGATTGTAAAGATTTTTTTAAAAGGTAAGTCTTTTTGGCTTCCTCTGGACCATTCTACATGGCCAATTAAAGTATCTCCTTTATCCAGAGAGTTGGGATGCCCAGGATGACACACAGTTCTGTTGGAAAAATGGCTGCCCAGAATGCGCTTGAAGGCAGTCATTAAAAGCTTAATTTAGACAAAGCAGATAATTTCTTCCTTTTTTTCTTTCTGGGTGGTGGAGTTAGTTTTGTTAATGAGGGAGTTTATTGCATTCTTCCATAGAATTCTCCCCCACGTGAAATTAAACACATAGTTTGGGAGTTCTCTTGGTAGTTATGGTAATTAATGTTCAGATAACAGCTGTGGCCAAAAGGTTTCCGATGTGGAATGCAACAAAGTAGGTATATTACTCCCATTTCAAAAGAGGAAATGAAGAAACACTGTTAGCAATATGCATCTAGGCAGAAATCAAAATAATTTTCTTTTAAACCCAGGTTCTATCCAGTCTGTGCCCTAGTGTCTTTGGACCACTTTCCTGCCAATACATAAAATTGAAAGTTATTTTTATGTGTTCCAAGATGGATAGGTGTAGAATTAATCAGCACACGTGATTTGGCATCCCAAAATACTCCAAGGAAGCATTTCCTCTCTCTAAAGGTCTGATTTCCTGTCTTTTTTAGCTTTTTCTGGCAAGTGAAGACAACTTCAGACAGAATTTTGAACAGCTCTGGTATTTCACACTGCATCCCAATTCTCAACTTTTAGTTACATGTGATTCTTTGTATCTCTTATCAGCTCTTATTCTGCTTTCCTGTGTTTTTGTAATGTTTTAGTTACTTATACGTTTCTCTGTGAAGTTGAAAGATGAGATACACATTATTCTAATAAATGCATATAATCTGTGGTTTGTCTTTAAGTATGAGGAAGAAAGGAGGTTGCCACACATATATTTCATCTACAGGTATTTTGCCTGGGTTACATTGGAAAAATGTGAACCATTTAAATGTTGATAAATGGACAGTCTTCTGAGACAAAACTTACCAATGTCTGGTAGATATTATTTAACCCCAACAGTTTAATATATGCCTTACAAGGATGCCAGAGGTATTTGTTGTTCTCAAGTAGACAGTAGGGACATTGGCACTTTTACCCTTAACTCCAATGCAATTTTCAATGTCAGGCACCGATTATTCTCAGTAAATACTCCAGGCTAGTGTCTTCTTAAACTCTTGTTAGCAAAATGACAGTGATTAAATTGCCTGTGGCGATATGTATGCTGACATGTGACATTTGAATTCTCAGAGGCACAGGAATGAGTGGAGTGTCAGACCAGACTTGAGTTCCATTTGGAGCTAATTTGCAGAGACTCTGCCACATCTCCTCACCCACTTCTGTGACATGAGAATTGCTTTCTCAATATTTTCAGTGCTTCTTGAAGTCAACCAAACTTCCAAACTATTGCACATACCAGCAATTTATAGAAAAGGCTCATGTTATAAAAGCAAAGCAAAACAGAAAAATGGCAAACAATCCCAATATTTCAACAAGATTATCAGGGATGGGCAACAATGAAAAAACAATCATTCTTGTAGAAGATAAAACTTTAATGAGTATTCACTGAAATCATTAAACACAACTGATGTGTTTATCACAACTATCAATCATAGGACTAGATCTCACACACAAATGCCCTGAAAATGGCAAGTCACACTCTGGTGGAAACTCACATTCAAGAAGAGTGTCCTTTTAGAGCATTAAATGCCCAGTGACTGATTCCAAGGTTTTTCATTCAATTACTGCATTCTACAAAATGTGCTCAAAGTGACTGATAGCTTGAGTTTTACTCCCTTCCCAAAAACAGAGAATAATCCTTTAAAAAAAACAAAAAACAAGCTTGAGGTGATTTTGTTGGTAAACAGCAATTCGGAGAGATCAAGTGAAGAATTTGCTGAACTCCACTACAGGCTGTTTTCTAAGCAGCCAAAATGGGGTTGGCAACCTTTTCTTGGGTTGCTTAGTAAATGTGTACTTTTGAGTGTGGAAATTTGGGTAGATTTTAAAGAGAACAATTTACTGTGAATAATGTAGAATGCAGATCTGAACTATAATTCAGTACATTTGATACTGGACAGAAAAAAAAAATCTTCAGAAAATCAGGAAATCAGGTCTACCTGTGTTTATATTTCATTTTCTTGATATAGTTTGCTGGCAAATTTCACAATCAGATCTTAGACAAACCAAACTCATTAATACTCATTTCCCCCTCAATGTCTTCATTGAAAACCTGCCATTTGATTTTTACTGCTAGCATAAACAATATGTACCATTCCCTTAGTAGCAGTCTATGAGTAAAATACTGGAAAACCAAGTGTCATTGGCAAATACAAAACTCTGACTGCCCCAAAACCTGAAATAAATGCAATCCAAGGATATAGATTTTTGAGGGAAAAATAATATGACAAGTACCTGGGAACTGGGCAGCATATATATTTAATAAACTATAATGAGGATGGAACATGTCTTGTGTGCATATGAGTAAGGCAATTGTCACATGGATGGGACATAAAAGCCATCCAGGTTTCACTTAGATCCAAGCTTTTTGTACAGGATCTCAAGATGATTTGCATTGCTCTTGGTCCTACTTTCCTTACGCTAGTTTATGAAGTAGGTTGGGTTGAGAATAATTTTCAATGAGCTTTCGTGGCTAAGGGGGAACTATAATTTAAATCTCCCAGCTCCTGGTTCAGTATCTTAACCACTACAAAGTATTCACTGGTTCTCTGGATCTGCCTCTAGAAACTCTTCAATTTCTTTCTTCCAGTTTTATATTTACAGGTGGTCCTTGAAGTCCCATGATGATGATGGGAAAAGTGGCTTATAACCAGTCCTTGCACATATAACTGTTGCAGCATCCTTGCAGTCACATAACTATTATCCAGATACTTGGCCTCTGGCTTGTTCTTAAAAACAATAGCTTTCAGCTTCCTACTGACAGTCATGTGACTGTCATTTGTGACTTTCCCAGTTGGCTTCCAACAAGCACAATCAAAGGGGAAGCTGGCAAGAGACTGAGAGTTGTAGTTGTATGGGGTGTTGCTTAACAAGCAGGTGATTCACTTACAGCAGAAAGTTCATAAAATTGGGTGCAGTCACATTATGTCTCACTTAATGACTGAACCACAATGAATTTTCTGGCTCTTATTGTGACTGTAAGTCAAGGACTACCTACATTAATAATCAAATCAACCCATTCCCCCCACCCCCTTCATCCATTTTTTTCTCTTTGCAGATTGGGTTTTCTCCCCCAATCAATATGTCTTTTAGGGCTGGTAATGGTTAAAGAATGGTTAAAGAATGGAAAGTAAATGAGAATAAAAGGCTTTCAATTAGATAAGTATACAAAAGAGGGTCTAACTGCATTAAGACTGCAGCTTTGTTTTATTTCAAATGTTGATAAGTTGGCAAGATTTTCAATAATCTCAATTTACTCAGGTTGGTAATACTAAAAAAGGATTAGAGAGAGCTTTCAAAAAATCCCTCACCTCCAGTGAATAGGGTTTAAGTTGAAAATCCAGTTTAATGTAAACAAGTGCAAAGCAATGGCATCCTGTTACAACACTTCTTGCCCTCAGATTTCATACATACAAAAGTGGGGGCTGAGTTGGCAGTAACTGATCGGAAAAGATCAAGAAAGGGAATTTAGTATCATCAGTTCCATGAAAATGTCAACCCACATTAATCCTTGAAATCATTAGGAAGAAAGCAGAAAATAAGACTGCCAATATAATCATCAAGTGCTTGCAAAAAGCCTTGGGTTGAGACAGCACTCAAAATAAGTGTCCAGTTCTGTTCATTGCCCCTCAAAAATGATGTTGTGAAAAGCAACCAATATTATAAAGAACCTAAGGAGCAATTATTGGAACTGCTAACAAGCACAATGAAGGAAACCTCAAACATGGGAAATAGCATATATAATTTTGATTTTACACAGAAGGGAATAATCTGGAAAAACCAGTCATAAAGATGTTTGGATTGAACCAGACTATAATTTTTCTAACAATATTAGACATGGGAAATATGGCGATGTATATACCATTTTATACTATGCAGAAAATGTGATAGTTTCTCTAACAATATTAGATCCTAAAGTGATCCAATTAATGTTACCACTGGAGGAATTCAAGACTTTCCTCAATAAAAGGAAGTAATAATTTACCCAACAAATAGTTTTCTGTTATCAGATATGCCTACTGGCATTGAATTAACTGGCTTTCAAAGGAGAGAAAACAATTCATGGAGGTTTGGGCAATGAATAGCTACACGTTAATGCATCCACAGATTGTTTCCTTGAACAACAGGGAATATTCTTTTAGTACAGTATCAGCTAAGGAATAATAATGGAAGAGGGCATCATTCCCATATTTTGATTGTGAGATTTTAGGATAATCCTTTGGTTGTAATACAGAATGCTAGGATAGGGGAGCCTTTAGCCCCAAGCTGGCGGTGTGATTGTGTTGCTCTGGTTACAGAGGGACTGGGGCTCAGATGATGATAAGGAACAGATTTCGGAGCATGGCACACAGAGAATATGCCAAATAAAGGTATCATAATTCCTCCTACTTTTATA